AAGTAATAAATTTGAAAAAAAAATATAATATTTTGTGACAAATTTAATTAGCTTAATTAATTTTAACTAATTTTATTAGTTTGTGTAAGATAAGCATTCGAAGTGCATTATATTTGAAAACAAAGGAGTAATTTCTACTATTAACAGTAATTGCAAATGAAGGAGATACATACACACACACACATATCAACGCATTGATATAAAATGTAAAATAAGAAAATAATTAAGTTTTGTTTTCTTATCTAGAATTATGAATTTCATAGTTGTTAATAGGTCGTGCGTTTAATAATCTGTGAGAGTGTTAGTGCTGAAAATTTGGTGAGAAGAGTGGAGCAATATAAAAGTCATCCGCCATATGAATTACCCATTCCACTAATCTTAATCACAGAATCACCCACAAGAAAATAATTTATAAAATAAAACTTTGATAATCTTTTTTTTTTTTAATTTGGAAAACTTCGATTGTCTAAAATAGAGATATATTTATAATCTCAGATTAAAAGTTCACCAATCTTAGGAACATATCTATAAATTCAATACATTTATAAAACTTGCAAGAAGTTACACTGTTCATAAAAGAGTAGATCATAGTGTAGCTCTTTAGGTTCTTTGATATTTTATTTTTTTAATTTAATGCATTGACAATTTTTATGGACAAATTGAGAAGTCCTTCTCCTCCATAGTAATTTAATGGGTAGAGTAGCATCCATTATTTTTCAGACATATCTAGTACCCTTATTTATAGTCTATCTAGCACTTTAATTTTATTTGTTCTAGTGCTTCTAGTACCCTAATTCTATTTATAGTGCATTCATCACTCTAAACCATAAATAAAATTATGGTGTTTAATTCTAGAAAATAATATCAATGAATATTGTATGCACTAAAAAAATAACATCATGATGCTAAATATTATTTTAGCCTAATCTAATTAGACTACTATTATAAATTTCAGGATTGAGCTATTTTCTAAAACAAACAATTTTTAAAATTGAGAAATACCAGTATAAACAAAATGAAAAAGTTTTGTTTTTTAGTACTCACATGTCACATGTAAGCTCAAGGATGATTCTCCCAATGAAAAAACCTCAAATTTAATAGTTGCGTAAAATTATTACTACTTCCAATTCTAATTATAAAGTTTTATTTGTAGTATATAAAATAAAATTAAATTAAATTATATACATATCTAATCTTACAAAATTCAACTTTTTGTAGAATTCAGGTGGAATTAGTTATCAACAACTAAAATAAAACTAGTAATAAAAATTAACAAAACCTAGTGATTAAGTGATGATATAAAACAAAAATGATTTCAACAAGTATTAACAATGTAGCGATTCCTAATTCTTTTTTTTCCCCCACAAATGAAAATGTGATTCCTAAATTACTAAATTTATTTACTGTACGCTCCGAAAACAACAAACTTCGGTCCTGTCATGGCTTGGCCTTAATGTTATATGTTGACTTAGAGATTGACCAGTAGATTCAAAGTTCAATGTTTTTTTTAAGCAAGACAAAAAAGGATTCCAAGCTAACGTTCAACTACCGATAGGCCAAACCAGAAAAACAACAAAAATCAATCAATATGAATCAGACCATTTCAATAAATACTGAATCTGAAAAAAAAAATGGGGGAAAAAAAGGCAGGAAAGGAACTTGGAACTCTGGAAGAACAAAATTAACAAGTGATATTTATTATGAAAAAATGTATAAATAATTAGTATTGGTATACACGCACCTGCAACTGGGAATTCTTCATCGGCGACTTAACGGAGATGACGGCCATCGGAGATGGCGGCTCCCAGACGCAGAAACCGTCTGAGACAGACGACGAGAAGGAATCAGAATCCTCAAGCAATTTCACGTTCTCTACATCCCACAGAACCCAATTCTGAGTCGAAGAACTGTACGGATCATCGTGCGTGATCGAGTTCCTCCACGGTGGCGTTCCTCCGTTCGCTCTGAGATACGTCCCGCACCAGCTCCTAAACTTCACCTGAAACCCGTCTCGGATCACCTCCCACTGGTGGGTGAACTCCGAACCCGGCTCCAAATCCGCCTGAACCACTCTGTTTCCGGTCATCCCCAACAAGAACGGAATCGTCGTCGAGGTCAGGTACCGGCCGTTGCAACTCTTCAGCCTCACGAACCGGTCTTTCCCTTCCACCAATTCCACAACCCACTGTGCTTTCCTTGAAGCCCCGTTTCGGCTCTGCCGGACCTCAACCTTGTCGTCGTCAGCGACGAGGTACTTGTCCAGGTGGCTCCGAAGCTTTACGGCTTTGGATTTCTCGAGAAACTCCATCACCGATATGTCGCAGGAGCACAAAGCCAGAAAGAAACTGCAAAACTATAATTCTACGTCTAATACATATATAATATATATAGCACGGAACGTGCCTGAGGAAAGTCCTGAGAGAGAAACTATTCTATTGAGATCGGTGATTGATTTGATGGAGCTCTATATGAGGAGGAAGTTAAGGAGAAACAGAGGTGTGAACTCTAGACTTTTCAACTAGAAAAAGGTTGAACATATCTAAAAGGGTTAGATTGGGTTTCTTTCTTGTTGGTATAGTAGCGAAAATAATATTATATATATAATAAATATATCATGGTGACTACGACCTAAGAGGGTAGGTGGGAAAGTAGACGACGGTACAGTGAGCGTAAGAAAAAGAAAAGAAATTTTCAACGCAGAAGAAGCCTGGAGAAGCCGGGTGTATATTTCTCTTACACTATTTGTAAATCGGAGGAAAAAATATTTTTTATTAATAAATTAAATTTATGTATAAAATTATTATCATTCGAATTTTATAATTATAAAAACAAATAAAATTTATAATTATAAAATAAATCACATAAATATATGTTTAATTTAGAAATTAAAAGAATATTAAAATAAAATTACTATAATAGTTTATTATTTATAAAATATTATGGTTTATAAACTAATGTTAAGTAATATATACTATTTTATGTTTACAGATGAGTGTTATTAGAACTTATAAAATAAAGAATAAAAAAATGCAGGGACGTAATTAACAATAATTGAAAATTGTAAGGATTTGATAAAAAGAAGAATAACTACGAGGACTTAATTCAAAATAGATGAAAATATAAGGATATGATAAAAAAGAAAAAAAAATCATAGGAACCTAATTCAAATTGATTAAAACTATAAAGACTTACAAATTAATCATTTCTATATTTAAATATACTTTTTGTCAATTTATATGGTTTGTTTTGCGCAAATAGAAAAATATTGCATTAGCTTAGCTTTTATTTGAGAATTCAGAACTGTTCATTGAAAATAGTCTTAATTCTTAAATATATTTTGAGAGAACCGTATCATGAAAACAAAGTTACTATTCACTGAGAAGAAGGCAGTAATATTAATAATTAATAAATGAATTCATAAGTTGGAGAATACGGTTTCAAGTCACCATACATTGAAAGGAGACTTAAATGCATTTTGAGAAGGGAAAATGACAAATCGGGACATTGTAGGAGGAATAATCACATTTAAGGACATTGATTTGAAAATAACCGAATATTACTTAGAAATAATGGAATCTTAATTAGAAATTATGAAAGCTCAGTCGAAAATCATTTTTACCTATTACTCCTCCGACCCTTAATATAAAACCCATTTAACTAATTTAATTAAGTTAAAAAAGTTAGGTAAGTTAGTTAATTATAAAAAATATGACACATTTTTTCCTAAAACACCATAATCATCTTTTTTAATACCCTCTTTTCCTCTTCTATTTGATTATAGTTGAGGGAGTATCCATGGAGTAATTTAGAGAAAATTGATAAATATGAGAAATGGGTCTTATATTAGGATCAAAACCAACTCAACAATTGGATCCTATATTAAGGACTAGAGGAGTATTATTCATTGTACAAGATCCTGAAGTTGTCTTTTTTTTTCTGTTAAGAATGGGGTTACACGATTAGGACCAACCAAATAATCCGTTGGTGTTAAATGTAAAATTAGATAAGTAATTTATAGAAATTAAAAAATAATTTATTAAGTTATTTGTAAAAGATTTGGAGAAAAGTCCACAATTAAAAATTTTACTGATGAGAAGTATTTAAATCAAAGTAGTGGTGCTCCGTGCATAAAAAATCCACAAAGTGCTCATACTTGCTGTGTATAAAAAGCTCATCGAATTATTCTTATTAATAAAATTTTTATGGAGATTTTAATTTTCACAAAAATTTTCAAAAAATATGTTGATTTTTCTAAAATAACTTTCTTAATTATTTGTATATATTAAAATTATTCTCATTGATGAAATCTTCATTACTAATTGTAATTCATAGAAATAATTTATTAAAAAAATTATAAGCTTGGATAACAAAATGAACTGAGATTTTATGTTTAAGATAAAAGCAATCACATAGCTTTTACCAAAAAAAAAAAAAAACACACACACACACACATAGCCACCTCTTTATATATATATATATATATATATATATATATATTCAGAAAAGAAGGTTGACAATAAAATACTAATCAAGAATTCTAAATGATGATAAAAATGCTGACTTCTTTTCCAAGCAGAATGCAAACAAGTGTGATTCGCGCACTAGTGCAAAATACCCCTTTTGGCTTCAGTTAAAAATATGCTTTCGCTACTATATTGGAGGTGTAGTAGAAGGCAAAGAAGCGAAAGATAGGACTTATGGTGTCTGTCATAAAGGAACAGAAGCCGTAAGTCGTGACTTACGGCGTCTGTTGCACTGAGCAACAGAAGCCGTAAGTCACGACTTACGGCTTCTGTTGCTCAGTGCATAGACGCCGTAAGTAGTCATTTTTTGAAAAAAAATAGTAATAATAAAACACAAATCCAGTAATTGCCAACTACTCATGAACTAATACAACATTTTTGTCCATACCCAATGTCAGAAGGACTAAAAATGCCAAAGCCAACTTAAATTTCAGCAATTACATAAATTTGTAATAACACATAAATATAAAAGCCAGATACTCTGCCTAATTTGGCTGACATTCTCTTCAAGCTGAAAGTATTGCTATAGGAATGAGAGAAACCCAAAAACAAATCCTCTGCTAGAGAACATTATTTCATATGAGATGTTACCTTTGAAAAACAAAGCTAACAAATAATTTAAAAAAATAACCTTGAAATCTGGAACTGATAAAAGAGTAAACATAGTTGGACTTGTCCAATCAAGGGATCCAATAACAAGCACTAGGACTCACATATAGAAGTGATTAAATGAGTTAGTGAGTGAGTGTGTGTGTGTGTGTGTGTGTGTGTTTGTTACCCTGGCTATGCAAGTAGTAGGCTGGTTGATGCTGAAACATCTGTTATAATGATGATTAAGTGTTGATTTCTAATATGAGAATATTTCCACTTCGTTGATCTAAACAACTCCTCCTTATAGCACATCTTGCTTTTATTCGAGGCTGAATGGAGAACACTCAAATGCTTGTTTTGATGGATACGAATATAAAAAATATCAAAATTACCTATATCCCCAAGAGAATAACCAGACAAAATGGTCTTAATTCAAACACAAATATTTTTGTTAATTCATTCTACTCAATGAGATATACCTCAATCAAACGACTGAAAGATAGTAAAAAAAGTGAATGGATCAGTTTATTTGAAATTCAAGTCTATTAGTTCACATCGTACCTGAATAGTGGACTTGCTGCTTGAAATAGCAAAGAAGGGAGAGGAGGAAATAGAACACAAGAACGAAAAATAAGTACTCTACTGAGATGTCATGATTGAATTTTAAAACTTCAAAAAAGGTTTGAGTTTTCGATATATGAACCTGCCCGTCTACTTAGAAGCCGTGATCTTTCAGAAACTCGATGCCGTCATTTCGATATGTTTTCACAATAAGAAGATTTGAGCTTCTCTTGTTCACTGTCACAGGCCAATAGCCAATATATTTCAATGCGATAACAAGATGAACACAACACTATATAAAAAAAAGAAGGCAAGAATAACTCGGTTACGTCAAAAAGGACTCCACTTCAAATGCTACAAATCTAATGGCATTTCTCTGTGATTAAATCGATTGATTTTGTGCACTTTATAAGCTGAAATCGTGATGGGAAGACAGAGGATATGAAATCTATTGTTTCTCTCGTAGAAAAGACATTTTAAAACTCAAACTCGTTCAATGAACAAATGACTTAAACAGGAAAAAAATTAATAGCGTTAACAAGAATCCTAATTTCCTTGCTAATCAACAAACAAGAGCAGTGAGCATAGAAAAATCTAAGAAGAGGCTTAACAAAAATAACCCTATTTTATTGCATATGGACTTCGGCATTTTTGGCTGTCGCGATGCCTCCTCCAGGGTTCTCCGCTAGGGCTCGTTTCCCCTGCACCATAAGATCAACCTTGACAACAAATCGAACATGGTGGAGAAAATAGAAAAAGAAGAAGATTATTCAACCAACATGCCATCATCACACACCCGCAGAAAGGAGCCACAATAATGAGAACAAACATGAACAAAATGAAAGTGAAAAAGGGTG